CTGGGAATGAGATTTGGACTTATGGACCACATCTTAAAATATAGGGATGATGGGCTCCTGGTTAGGGATGGAGTATGCCTAATAAAGGCTGGTAAGGACATATTTGCCTGGAATCTTGAAAAAATAAACAAAAAGGATTAAACTAAAAAGAAGATGAAAACTGCCCACATATAGCCATCAAGCTTATTACTACACACAGTAGCTACAACACAGGAGGCAAAATAGCCTTGGAGTTGTCTAGTAAGGAGCCAATAATAAAATCCCTGCTTCAGATGTTTATACACAAATTCACAAAGCATGGTTAAAAAGTCAGATGATTGAGGGATCCCAACTCATGATTTCATAGGTGTCACTGATACCAGGTGAGATGAACCCATGAATAGAATATGGTTCCATGGAAAGATATTACTCCTAATGGCAAAGGATTATTATTCCCACTTTACAGATGAGAAATTGGAGGCTAAGAAAAGTTAAATAACTTGCCCAGGGGTCACACAGCTCATCAATGTTTGAATTCATGTCTTCCTGACTGCAAGTCAGCACCTTTTCCACTGTGCCACCTAGCTGCCTAAGTGAAAAGGAGAAGCAATTTGGCATAGATTAGATCTGTCTTGAGCAGAGTTTAAGAGGTAGAGATCTTCTCTGCTCATTAAAGGGTAGAGATGATCAGTAAAATCCCATTGGAGGGGCAGCTAGGTGGTACAATGGATAGAGCACTGGCTCTGGAGTCAGGAGGACCTGAGTTCAAATGTGGCCTCAGACACTTGACACTTGGTAGCTGTGTGACCTCGGGCAGGTCATTTAACCCTGATTGCCTCCCCCCCCCCACCAAATCCCATTGGAATAAATCTACAGGGGAAAATAATCCAGGAGAGATGGGAAGTATTTAACCATCAAATATAAGGATACAAAAGAAAAATTATGATGGGAGAAAAGGAGAACATTATCTAAAGAGACCTGTATGAATGCATAGCAAACAAACCAACCAATTTAGATTTAAAAAGACAAATGCAGGATATGGAAGCAAAGTCAGGTAAAGAAGCCAAAAGCTAGGAGCACTGATGATTAAGTACCAGAGTGATCTGATGCTGATGATGAAAATGAAGGATAACCCAAAGGTTTTTGGAAGTGCTTTTAGACATACTGGGGAAAGGAAGAGGACCAATGAAGGGACAGGTGGATCAGTGGACAGAGCCTGGAGTCAGGAGCACCTGAGTTCAAATCCAGCCTCAGACACTTACTAGCTGTGTGACCCCAGGCGAGTCATTTAACCTTGTCTGCCTCAGTTTCCTCATCTGTAAAATGAAGTGGAGAAGGAAATGGCAACCCACTGCAGTATCTTTGCCAAGAAAACCCCAAATGAGGCCATGAAGAGTTGGACACAACTGAAAAAATGACTGAACAACAACAAACAACAATGAAAGGATAAAACTGCTGTGCAGGGTAGATGGGACTATGATAATGGATAATGAAGGGAGGACAGACCTGCTCAATTCTTTTTTTTGTTGTTGTTGCTTTTCTTTTTCCTGGCAAAGAGAATGATCTTTTGTCTAGAAGAAACAGAACCAAAAGAGGTAATGGGAAACTGAAATTCAAAACAACATCTATAGTAGCTGCTCTTGCTGAGTTCAAGACACCAGCCTCCAATGAACTTCATTCCCTGGAGAGGAAAAAAACTAGCAGAAGTAAGTCAGAGCTAGTCAGTAATCCTTGAAAGACTGTGAAGAATGCGACAGGTACTGCAGGACCGGAAGAGGGCAAATGTTCACTTGATTTTTTTTTTAAAAAAGGCCCCAGAATGGAGTCTGCAGAAATGGCCAACGAGCTCAAATTCAATTCCTAGCAAATGTCTAGAATGTGTCATTGAAGGGATTGTTAATGAACAATTAGAAAAGGAAGCAGTGAAAACAGAAAACTGGCATGGCTTCATCAAGAGCAGGTCATGCCAGACTAATTTTATTTCCATTTTTTTGGGCAGCATTACTAAACTGGTAACTCAGGGGAATGCTGTAGATATAGTTTATCCAGATTTTAGCAAAGCATTTGTTGAAGTCTCTCATGCTACTCTTGTAAACAAGATGAAGAGAGCTGGCTAGTAATAGTATAATTAGACAATTTTGGGATTGGCTGAATGGCCACACTCAAAGAGTAGTAGCTATTGCTTCAATGTCAATTTGTCATCTTCAGTGGAGTGCTCCAGAGATCTGTGTCAGGCCTTGTACTATTGAATATTTTTATCAGTGACTCAGATAAAAGCACAGATGGCACCTTTAACATATTTGCTGGTGACATAAAGCTGGGAGGGAGAGCTAACACACTGGATAACAAAGTCAGGATTTGAAAATATCTCAACAGGCTAGAGCACTGAGCTGAATCTAAAAATGCCATAACAGTTACACTGCCTTTATTGATTATTTCAAAGCCTTTTACTCAGTTCCACACTCATGTGCTACAAATATATAAGACAGACCTAAATATAGGAAGAATGCTAGTATATTATATACCCACATAAAAGTGTTCTCTTAAACATGCCACCAACATAGTAACATAAAAAATAATTGAGGGGCAGCTAGGTGGCGCAGTGAATAGAGCACTGGCCCTGGAGTCAGCAGGACCTGAGCTTAAATCTGGTCTTAGACACATAACACTCACTAGCTGTGTGACTCTGGGTAAGTCACTTAACCCCAATTGCCTCACCAAAAAAAAAAATAATATAACATTGTGCACAGTAACGACATAACAACAACAATAACATTGTACTCAGTAACATTGTACATTGTAACACAGCCACGCCATGCAATGACTGACTTTGATAGACTTGGCTCTTCTCAGCAATGCAAGGATTTAAGACAACTTCAAGACTCACAATGGAAAATGCTATCCACATCCAGAGAAGGGAACTATGGAGTCTGAATGCAGATGGAAGCATACTATTTGCTCTCCTTTTCCTTTGTTGTTTTGTTTTATTGCTTCATTCTCATGGTTCCTCCTATTAGTTCTAATTGCTCTTTACATCATGACTAGTAGGAAAATATGCTTAATATGAATGTATAAGTAGAGCCTATATTAGATTGCACACTGTCTTGGGGAGTAAGGAAAGGGAGGAGAAGAAAATTTAAAAACTCAAAATCTTATGGAAGTGAATGTTGAAAACTAAAAATAAATAAATCAATTATTGAAAAAAATAATTGATATGAAAAGTAGCATTTTTTTGTAGTTAAATCTCATTATGGTTCTATCTAGCCTTAAATACATGATCATCACTCCTAAATAAAATTAAGTATATCTTCCAAGTTCTATGAGTAATAATGGTCATTAATTTAGTTGGAGTACACTGTAGTTATACTGGAAAGTCCCTGCCATATAAGCTAATTAAATCTTTTTTTCTTAAAAAGGCAAAACTCAATTGATCTAGGCCTCTAAGGCTTAAACCATTGGTTTGACTTCCCAATTGCCTCAAGGTTAAAACCCAGTGCACAAATAATTGGCGCTCTTTAGACTTGATAGATGTCTCAGTGTTGTTTTAGGCAACATACCTTTCTAACAGGGCAGGCCACCATGGCAAATGTGGGAGTAAGGGAAGCTGTGTCCAACTGAATTAACTATATATCTTTGCTAAATTCTCTTTCCCATGCTATTGTGAGGTATGTTTCTTTTGTCAAATGCTATTTAGTCTATGAACATTGTATTTTATTCCTATCCTGAACCTGAATCGCCTGACTGTCCTGAGTCAGGCCTGGCCCAGGACACAAGTTAAAAATGGAGCGATGCCAAAACATATTATTATTATATTGTATATGGATGAAATCAAACTATATGGCTCAACTCAAAAAACACACTGAACAGCTCCTTCATCTCATGGAATCTTTCTCTGATGATAGCAAAATGTCATTTAATCTCAATGAGGGTATATCTACCATTTCCTCACATAATCTACATTGATCACTAAGTCTGGGCTGTTGAAGGATAACCCTTATGTAATGTCAGGTGGCGATGACTTCCTACTGAGAAGAAAGCTTTCTGTTTACACAAACAAATCTGCCTGACTCAGACCTTTGCTTGATACTTTTTTTTTTTGGTGAGGCCATTGGGGTTAAGTTACTTGCCCCGGGTCACCTGGCTAGTAAGTGTCAAAAGTATCTGAGGCTGGGTTTGAATCAGGTTCTCCTGATTCCAAGGCCAGAGCTCTACTCACTGTGCCACCTAGCTGCCCCCTGCTTGATACTTCTTTAAAGACATCTTGTTGACAAAGTTTATGAGGATGTCACCCACAGAAGTCTTTTTGATTCTATTCTTGGATCTTCATTGTTCCAAAGGTTCCGCCTGTAACCCACTTAAGGGTATGTACATTTGGCAAACCCAGTGGCATAGACCTGTCACCAGCCTTTACTATTTCCCAGTCAGTTGATGTCTGCTTGTTCTAAAAGTATTTCTGTGGGTGTTTGATGTGTCATGTGCTCTAAGAATATTTATCAATCCTCTTCCTCTGTTATGACTTGGAAGGGTTTCTCTTTTTCAGCACCCTGAGCTGCCTTGGGGAGATGGACCCTGTGTGTGTTAATATTTTATGGGGTTTTGTTAGGATACTTTCCAAATCTGTCACAATCTACTCTACCATTCTGAGAGTGTACATTAAGAATAGCATTGTTTCCAAAAGACTCATGACGTAAAATGTTACCTACATCCAGAGAAAGATCTATGGAGTCTGAATGCAGATTGAAGCATACTATTTTCTCTCTTTTTTTTCCCTTTCTCATGGTTTTTCCCTTTTGTTCTGATTCCTCTTTCACAACATGACTAATGCGAAAATATGTTTAATATGATTCTACATGTATAGCCTATATCAGATTGCATGCAGTCTTGGGAAAATTTTGGAACTCAGAATCTTATAAAAGTAAATGTTGAAAACTAAAAATAAATTTACAAAATAAAAAAAAGAATAGTATTGCCTAAGTGTTAATTGCTTTAAATATGTTCTTCCCATTTCGCTCTGATTTCAGGATACCAATAAATCTCTTATTGTATTCAGGCACAGCCTTGTCCTTGATATCTTTATGCTGAATGTCTTGACTGGAAAAGAATAAGGTATTTTTTAAGCTAAAATGTCTATTTATTTAATAGCAATAATAACTTAAAATCATAAAAATCCTTTCTGTTGTAGAACATTCAAAAGGGAGGTTATAAAGAAAGACAAGATGATGATGGAGGGGACAGCTGAGGGGGAAGTGGACAGCTCACACATTGGGTGACAGTGGCATGCTCTACCTGGCCAAGGTGGCCTTCTCACCTGGGAGCGTTAAGACCAAGGTATTTTTAGGTATCACCCTCATATATCAATTCATTGTGACCTCCAGATTCAAGCTTGAAACATTTAGTTTCTCTATTCTAGGGATACATTAAGAATTTCTTGGCTATTAAATGCAATTGATACTTTGCTATCAGATTCATTGAGTTGTTTTGGTTTGTTTACTGGTGAAGCCCATATGCTTTGTTGTCATTCATGTGCATTGACTGATTAATTAGATGTTTTGATTTCATTCCTTCTTTAATCTGAAAGTCATATTAGCCATATATAGGAGACATGATAATGGATTTAATTAAGGCAGGGCTACTTCTTACCATGGCAATGTATGTCATATGAACTACTGTGTACAGATCCTGAAATGCTTTTATGCTTTATGTCAAATACTGTGGGAGGATGTACTTATGTTTGATGGTTATAGTAGATAAAATTTTTAAAAAATTATTCTCTTTTTGTATAATTGGTCTGATTGGTGGTTTCATGCCATAAGACTGAAAAAGGATTTTTTGGAATTCCGTTCTATGTGTGTCTGTTTCCATTTCAAAATCTTTTGAGACTTTGGTGATGTTTCTGTTATCCATTACATTATTATGTATATTTTCTGGTGTTTGCATTAAATTAAGATTTTCACTGTCCTCAGGTTCTTTAACTTTTACCTCTTCAGATTTTAATTGCTCCTTAATTTCTTTTCTTATTTTATCTACTCTAGCCTTAGTGATGAAGTTTTTTTTCTTAATTTAATATTGCCCAGCACTGATGAGCAAGGCATTGCTATGTGACTTGGAGCTGAGAGTTCTTTTGATAAAAAGCAGTATGAAACCTTTGCCTAGAGCTGGTGAGTTCTATTTCCAATTTTGTTACTATATAGTATTGATTTTTAATTAAATTATTTGGGCCTTCAGTTCATTTTATGCTTATTTGTTTTTTGCCTATTCTATTGATTGATTGATTTCTGTTTTATTTGACTATTTGAAATTGATACACACACACATACACACACATTTTATTTTTCTCCCAATTACATGTTAAAACAATTTTAAACTTTATTTTTAAAAGTTTTGAGTTCCAAATTCTATCCCTCCCTCCTCCTCCCCCTATACATGTGCAATCATGTAAAACATTTCCATATTAATCATTTTGTACAAGAAGGCTTGAACAAAAGAAAAAGAATGAAAGAAAGTGAAAAATAGCATGCTTCAGTCTCTATTTAAACAATATCAGGTCTTTCTCTGGAGGTGGATAGTATGCTTCATCATTAGTCCTTTGGGACTGTCTTGGATCATTGTATTACTAAGAATAGGTAAGTCATTCACAATTCTTCATCAAATTGTGTGCTGTATACAATGTTCTCGTGGTTCTGTTCACTTCACTTTGCATCAGTTCACATAAGTCTTTACAGGTTTTTCTGAAATCATCCTGCTTGTCATTTCTTATAGCACCATAATATTCTATCAGAATTATATACCATAGCTTGTTTAGCCATTCCCCAATTGATGGATATCCCTTCAATTTCCAATTCTTGGCCACCACAAAACAGCTGCTATAAATATTTTTGTACAAATAGGCCCTTTTCCCTTTTTTATGTCTTTGGAATATAGACCTAGCAGTGGTATTGCTGGATCAAAGGGTATGCACAGTTTTATAGCCCTTTGACCATAGTTCCAAATTGCTCTCCAGAACTGTTGGATCAATTCACAACTCCACCAACAGTGAATTGGTGTCCCAATTTTCCTACATCCTCTCCAACATCCATAATTTTCCTCTTTTTTTTTTACATATTAGCCAATGTGATAGGTGTGAGTTAGTACCTCAGAGTTGTTTTAATTTGTATTTCTCTAATAAATAGTGATTTAGAACATTTTTATGACTATAGATAGTTTTGATTTCTTTGTCTGAAAACTGCTTGTTCATATCCTTTGACCATTTATCAGTTGGGGAATGACTTGTATTTTTATAAATTTGACTCAATTTTCTATATATTTGAGAAATGAAGCCTTTATAAGAAATACTTGGTTCTTTTTGCCCATTTTAGTGGTAAGCACTATCTGCACTGAAGTATCCTCAGCAGATGGATTATTGGTATTTCTGATTTGCCTTCTTGTGAATCCTTAACATGAAGGAGTGCCATTCTTTCTGCTGTCCTTTATGTCAAGCTGTTCGTAAGTTGATGGCTTTGAATAGGGCCAGCCAGCAACCCTATGTCATGCCATCTATTTCTTTGACTCTTACTGGCAGTGCTAACTCTTGGGGTGCTAAACCGATCAGTAGTGTCTACAGAGTCCAGTTTTCCAGAATTTCAAGTTTCCTGCCAAGACTTCACAACTATCATAATGATTTTAGGGCGCATGTATCCCCTGGTAGACATTCCTCTATTTTGTAATTATCTTCCCTATCATGGCATCAATGATGGGTTGGACTTTGAGAAAGTGATTGAAGATGATGATAGTTATTTCATTTATTTGATGGAGGTCATATAAAAATGGTCCTTAGACAAGAGTTTTGTCAGAGATCATTGAACTAGAAAAGAAGGAAAAAGGGGCCTCAAAAGTCTCATTAGCACCTTTTGTAAGCATTCTTCTGGTTTAGCAGCCATTCAAAAGGCTCCTCATCTTCATCTGACCATCAGATTAGAAATTATACCTGGGAATGCCCCAAAGTCCACATAGGATCTTATCAGGCAGAGCACACAGCATCTGCTGATGAGGACTGGGATCTTGGCCAATCCCATTCCTCCTTTACTAGTAGCAGGGAGCAAAGCCAAGCAGTGATTACTGCCCCACAGACTGGGTGCCAGCAGTCTTCACAAGACTAGCCTTAACATCAGTTTTATGTAGTTTCAGAAATGTGAGTTTTTCCTCCATGCATTTGTCCTGGCCTCATATATGTCCTCTTCATAAGTGCTTCTCATGTGTGATCCATGTAGATGTCCACTCTTCTCACTGATAGTATATATGTTTTCGAGAGTATGCCCTAGGTATATGGGGAAATGTTCCAATGTGACTTTAAAAACATTGTTCTATTTCATTAAATGCATTTGTTTTGAAATAATTGTGTTCTCTGGTGGACTACAAAAAATGCAGATACACCAGAAAGGGGGTTTTTGAGCTGTGGTTTTGAGTGGATATGGACATACAGAATACCTTGCCCTTGGTTAGCTATACTAAGGGCCCTCTGTGTGAGAGGAGGATGAAGACCCTGCATAGATGAAAAGTGATTGAGAGGGGGAAATCCTTAGGTTGATATGATTAGAGACTCCTGTGAATTTTAGTCATAGAAATAATGAAGTCAGTAAGAGGAGCTTTGAGATAGGAAATATGACTACTCTGATACTACGAGGGAGCTGCCATTTTACTGATAGTATGGATTGCAGCCTAGCCACGCTTTCTCATACAGTAATGCTGTGTGGCTACAAGTCATTGAATACTATAGACACTGACGAATGAAAGTTGTGGGTCATCCAAAGGGGGTGAGTAGGTTGCTGGACATTGCTCTTATGGAATTATGCAGAAACGGAACAGAAAAGGAGGTGAGTCAGTCATGTGGCAAAGAGCAAAGGATAGCTGATATGAGTCCATTTGCTCAAATGGTATTGACACAATGTTAAGAGATCTAGGAGAATCTAGCACATTGGGTGGATCCCCTATGAAGGAGTTTTGGGAAGGCATAGATAAGAGACTCTAGGATGAAAAATACTTGGTTATTATTCAAAATTTGGTCTCTTGTTGGATAATTATATGTATGTTTAAATAAACTGGACAGGTAGAAGCTACACACAGTAGTGAACACACGTGGTTGCCTAAGTGACCCTGAGACTGAATGTCAACACCCTAGCTGCCTCTTCTGTTTTGTGTTTTCCCTGAGCAAAGGTGACTGAACAGCAATCCTGAGACGAATGTTTCTAGCCTTGGTGGCTATCCCATGAGCTTGGTAAGTTGGACATACTTGAATTGGGGCTGATTGCCCAACTGTAGGTAATTCCTGCCACTTCACCCTTCTTGGAAGAGAATACCTTTAAACAGTGAGTACTTTTCTAGAAAAGAGCCTGTTAATTCATTTTGGGGATACCCCAGACACAATCCATACCTACACCTTATTTTAAGAGATTTCCCCCCTGTAGTTTTGCTCTATGGTAAGAGTGTAATAAGCCACAGAGGATAAGAAAAGCTTGTTTTCCATCTCTTTGGAAGTCAGGCCTACCCCCAGGATGGGAATTCACAACTTGAGTCCTTTGTGGGAGAAGGGGGCCCTCTGGTAATGAGTAACCCACTGGCAATATGCTGCAGGCATATCAGGTGTCACAGTGTGTAGACTGCCTGGCCTGGAGTCAGGAAGACTCACCTCCTTGAGTTCAAATCTGGTCTCAGACACTTAATAGCTGTGTGACCTTGGGCAAGTCACTTAACCCTGTTTGCATCAGTTTCCTCATCTGTAAAATGAGCTAGAGAAGAAAATGGCAAACCACTCCAGTATCTTTGTCAAGAAAACCCCAAATAGGGTCACAAAGAGACAGATATGACCAAAACAACTGAACAACAACCATGTGCTGCAGTCTTTTTTTACCTGCCACACATTTCTCCATTGTCTTCAGAGGTTATGGTGTTCTATGATTTCCAGTTATACAGCCTTGGCAGAATATTCACAATGCTATGTAGTTTACAGTCTCCCCCATAGAATATAAGGTCTTTGATGGCAAGAATTATTTTTCATTTTGGTCTTTCATTTACAATTATTTTCTCAGCTGCTCATTGTGGCAGGGAAATAACCCCAAGTTTCCAAAGGCTGTCAGTATAGCATAAGGTCCTGTACTTCCTATTAAGGTTTTAAGTGTAGGCCTGCAGATAGACTATGTCTCTCCTTTCAAGTAGTAGCCCAGCTGAGTGCAGAGAGTCTGATCACCAAGGCACTGTCCCCAGGGAGATGGACTTTTTTTTTTTGTGTAATGGCAACTCATAAAACTTAAAAGTTTT